GGCCTCGCGTTCTCGGGGGTGAGGAGAGGAGAGAGGAGAGAGGAGAGGGAGAGGGAGAGAGAGAGCGCTCGTCACTTTGACGGGAACTCGTACTCCATCGTCTAATACGTCCACGTCGATCCTGTGCACCGAGGGTTCCTCTCGTGACGATGACGTCACGCGGTGTATTTCGAATTCTCGATATGTTCAGGGGGGAGGGGTGAACCTTCTCTCGGGACTAATCTTTTTCACGCGAAATTTCACCAATTGGCTTCGAGAATCCGTTCTGGTTTCTTTTAAAGAAAAATAGGAAAATTCGTTTTGGAATAATTTGGAATGTTTTTGAATCGACTTTGATCGGAAAGAAAAGTTCACGATTCAAGAGTGCGAAGGTATTCTTAATTGATTCTATTGAAAAAAGGAAAAATTTAATGGTAATTCGAATATTTATTTTTAAGTTTTCTTTAAAAAAGGAAAAATTTAACGGTAATTCGAATATTTATTTTTAAGTTATTTTTAATCGACCTAAGGAAGATTTCGTTTTGAAATGAAGGAAAAATTCCAGAACTATTTTTAATCAATTCTTTTAAAAAAAGGAAAATTTCACGGTAATTTGAACATTTAGAGTTGCCTTTAATCGACACAGAAAAGATTTCGAAAAAGGAGGAATCTAAAGCCTAAATATTCTTTTAAAAAAAAAAAATTTCACGAATATTTAGAGTTGCCTTTAATCGACACAGAAAAGATTTCGAAAAAGGAGGAATCTAAAACCTAAAGATTCTTAAAAAAAAAAAATTTCACGAATATTTAGAGTTGCCTTTAATCGACACAGGAAAGATTTCGAAAAAGGAGGAATCTAAAACCTAAAGATTCTTAAAAAAAAAAAATTTCACGAATATTTAGAGTTGCCTTTAATCGACACAGGAAAGATTTCGAAAAAGGAGGAATCTAAAGCTTAAATATTCTTTTAAAAAAAAAAAATTTCACGAATATTTAGAGTTGCCTTTAATCGACACAGGAAAGATTTCGAAAAAGGAGGAATCTAAAGCTTAAATATTCTTTTAAAAAAAAAAAATTTCACGAATATTTAGAGTTGCCTTTAATCGACACAGGAAAGATTTCGAAAAAGGAGGAACATAAAGCCTAAAGATTCTTTTAAAAAAAGGGAAATTTCATGGTAATTCGAACGTTTGGAGTTGCCTTTAATCGATACAGGAAAGATTTCGAAAAAGGAGGAACCTTAACCTCAACCGAAAACTCGAGAGGCGGTTTTAATGAAGGAAAAAAATTTCATCTTTTGGAAACAAAAGAAAAATCTCACAATGGGCCATCTTTAATTTAATTTTTGAGACAAAAGAAAGGGAGGAAAAATAGCGTCTCCCTCACGGTTTGGAATAAAGGGAAGGGCAACGCGCGAGACGAAGTAGATATCAATCACTTGGCCTGGTGACGGGTTGAGATTTGGCAGCAGCTTCGGAACGCGGCGCGAAAGAGGAGGAAGAAAAGGCGCCGTCCAACAACTGCGTCCATTCTATCGTCATTTTTCTAAGAGAGGCCCTTACATATCGATTCACGAGTTATCGAGGTGTCAATGCCGACTGCCATTGTCATTGGTCTGGTTCGCGTATAGATGTCGCGTACGTCGGGCGACGATGAGTCCTGTCACGCCATCACGCGACGCGTTTCTTCTCTTCCTCCTGTTCCAGCAGGAGACGAATTCTTGGCACCTCGACTCGTCGAGGAACTCGTGGGTGAACTCTTGTCTCCGGATTAATCGATTTTCATCTCTTATATCTAGTCTTCTTCGTTTCGGGATACAGCATCGGTTGGCACGATTCTCCCTGTGTTGCGAAACCGTGTCTCCCTTTTTTAAAATCGCCGTGCTCGATTAGGGAGACCTTGGTCCTATTAAATTGGGACCAAGTTTCATTTTGTTGCTTATTATACGTATCCAAATATATATCGTACAATACCTAAGTTGACTGAAAGCACTGTTATGAATTTACAACTTATCTGAACTTGGAAAAATTAAAAATCTGGAAACAGTGAATTTTCGATTCGATTTGGTTACCTTGTGGATATAGTAGGTATGGATTATAGTTATCTATGATATTTTCTCCAAATTAAATTCGACTCTAACTTTAATTAACTTTAATTTTATTATTATTCATTGTCTACACAAGTGTAC